GCACCTTTACTAGAGATATAGAAAAAGTTTACTACCAATAGCAACAGAATATGACGTGACAGGACAATAAAAATCAGATATTGAAACTTGTGTGATTACACTGGTATGATTATGAGGAGTGGTAATTTATGCTTGAAATGTCGTCATCAAATAAATAATAATAATAATACTGTATCACCATTGTGTGTTATCAGTCAAATTCCCAAGATGGTATTAGTTCGCTTGAGGTTAACTTGCTAACAACTGTTGACGACTGGCTACGCATACAACTACTCAATGTGAATACAATGAAATGTCAAGTTAATTTAGCCCAACAGTTTAGTACTGTAGAATAAATAAGTCAAGACTCTGTTTACGGCTGACTTCATCAATGGATTGTCACAACAATTGATAGGAAGCGGCTTATATCGAAATCAACATTTGAAGTCATCAGCTGTTAAGGTAGAAGTTTTGGATTTCAACCTTGTTTCATGTTACTGTTTAGACCATCTCCTCCATGTCACCTTCAGCTGGGACGCCCAACTCGTCTTTTCCCTTTTGGGTTCCACTCAATGGCCTGGCCTGACGCGTGATATCCCTAAACGGTCTTCTCAGTGTATCCCCAATCCATCTCCGCTTACTTCTGCGTATTTGTTGGGCGATAGGTTCTTAGTTGATTGGTTCATTGCCAGGATGAGTTCCTCCTTACGTATTCTTTCTGGCGTTTTGATCTCATCTTCACTATGGAGTGAGCGTAGGCGGCAGCTATTCACGTATGTATGCACTTTGTTGGAAATGCTTTTTGTAACGTACCAAGTCTCTCAACCACTGACTTGACTGAATTTGTGTTGAAAATCCGGATGTTGCTCACGCTTTATGCTGAGTGCAGTAGGTCTGCACACTGATTTCAGATTGATGAAGACATGTCTTGCTGTCTTTCCGATCCTGGCTTTGACATTATCGCCTGTGCTGCCTGTAGTTGAGACGATGCTGCCTAGGTAGGTGGGTAGGTGAAATAGATAACTTCCTTTCGAAATCTCCTGTTGACGGTAATTGGTGCTTGTTGTTGTTGGTTGGGTTTCTTCATCACCTCTTTTTTCTTCTCTACGTTCACCTGAAAGAAATGCCGTCTGCGCTGTCCTGCCTGTTCTGCCAACCTGTTAGTTTTCGCCTATACATCTTCGAGTTTGTGCGACATAAGACACTAAACATAAATCATCATAGGCGAAATCCAAGTCGTCTAGGCTCTTTCTATCGGTCAAACAGTGTATGCCACTCTTCTCTCTCCTCATAGTTTGTTACATGACCCAGTCCAATACAGTCGTGTCGACCACAATCAGGAAGGTCATCTGTGATAGTAGGCGGCAACCTTGTCTTATTCCTTTCTGTCTTCACTTCAAAGGCATCACTGAGCTTTCTGTTGTGAATCACTTGGCATGTAGCATCATATAGCATATAGCTGCTGTTGAATGAGGTTGATAAAAGTTTGTGACATTAAAACCGTAGTGTTGAAGCAGCTGCCTGCCAAATTACTTCTTGGTCGACACCTCGATCGAAAGCTTTTTCAAAGTCGATGAAGTTGAGGCAGAGGGTTGACTGCCATTCTATACTCTGTTCTATGATGATGCGTAGCGTAGCGTTGGAATGTGATCGGCACACGATTTGTTCTTCCTGAAGACAGTCAGCCTGTTCTAGTCGTAATTTTGAATCCAGAGCATCTTTTAGTCTCTCCAGGATGATGCGGCTTAATATGTTGCTTGGGGTTGAGAGCAGCATGATTCCGTGCCAGTTCTTACAGACACTGAGGTCTCTTTTGTTTGGGAGTTTGACAAGGCAGCCCTTGTTCGAATCTATGGGCAGGTACCCTTTCTTGCAAACCTTATGCTGTCGTGGTGTGAGCAGTCCGCTGTTGTCTCTGTGTCTGTTTTCAGTGCTTCTGGAGGAATTCCATCTGGTCATGCTGCTTTTCTGGCTTTCAGTAACTTCATGACGTTCAGGGCTTCACTTCTGCTTTTGTCGGATAGCTTGAGTTCACTGGTAATTCTGAAGTTGCTGATGGTATTTCTGGACGATTTGTTGCTGGTGGTGGTGGTGGTGGTTGTGGTCGATTCAAGAGTTTTTGGAAGTGGTCAGCCCATTGTTTCCTTTGTTTCTCCTCTTTAGTGGTAATTACGTTTCCTTCACTATCTTTCATTGATTTCATCTGAGTTAATGTCTTCCCAGATAGTAACTTGGTTATTTGATATAGTGTTATCAGGTCTCTCCTTCCTGCAGCGTGTCCTGCTTGACTTGCCAGTGTGTCGTAGAAGTGTCTTTTGTCTGTGCGTGCACTCTTCTTCACTTCTTTATCCAGCGTAGTGTTTTATAGGTTGTACTCAGTTCCTCTTTTCTTTGTTCATCCCTCCACTGCACTCCACTGGTTTATCTTCTGCTTCACCATCTTCCTCTCCCTACTCTATCAGCTTCTATGTATCCGTCGAGATCCATTCCCTATATTCTTTCTTCTTCCTTCCTAATATGGCTGTGCAGGTTTCTTTCCACATCTCTTTCAAAGACTTCCAGTGTTCTTCCACACATGTTTCTTCAGGAATGTTGCTTAATGTCTCCCATTTTGTCTTCATGGCTGATGTGAAGATGTCCTTTGTAGTTTTGTCATTCAGTTTCTGTTCTGGATGTTGAACTTGAACTGTGGTCTATCACCAACTTCTTTGATGGCTTTCAACTTGATTTTGAAGTTCTCTTGCACTAGACACTGAGTGGTGTGAACCTACATCTCCTCTTCTTGGTCTTGCGTCAAGTAGGCTGGGTCTCCACTTTCTTGAGATTGAAATGAAGTCGATCTGATTTTTAGTGCAATGTGTTCATCTGGTGAAATCCATGTTGCTTTGTGGATATCCTTGTGTTTGTACACACTACCTTCAATCACCAAATCGTTGAATGCGCAGAATTCTGCAAACACTTCTCCATCCTCATTCATTTCATCGAGTGCCTCTCTACCCATGATTAGTTCTCTTCTTGTGTTGTCCGCTCTTAGTTTGACATTCATGTCACCCATTAGAATTTTGATGTCGCCAACTGGAGTCCTGTCTGTTATTGATTGCAGTTGTCTGTAGAATTCCTCCTTATTCTCTTGGTCTGTATTATTTGTAGGTGCATAGCGTGGCATTGTATGATTGTGACTTTCCTTCCTTTTGATTTGAATCTTGCTGTCATGATCTTGGAGGAGAAGATTGGTTCCCACTGCATGAGAGCCCTCGATGCTCTTGAAGGGGACATTATGATAGCCACTCGTAAACTCAATGTACTCGTGACTGTCGTCTGGGTGACATATATCTGAGTAGATTATTGACTCCTCTCCAGTTGATGGTTTGTAGAGTCCACATCCATTCAATCTGCTGGTTCCTTGCAGATTCCTAGCACTTCTATCCCATACCTTCTCATCTCTTTGGCAATCTGGGTAGGCTTGCTAGGTTCAAACAGTGTGCGGACATTCCATGTCCCCACATTTACTTTTGCTTTCATTGAAAGAAGCGAAGACACATCGGCCAATTGGTTTCCCGAAGGCTTTCTCCAGTTGGTGTTATTTCGTCTCCCCGAATCCAACGAGGAATAATTTTGTTTTTATTTTTTATATTTTCTTTGTGCTTTGAAGTTTCTTTAACGATTGGATTGGTTTTACGGGATAGGATTACTAGCCTTATGCCCAACCTCTCTTTATCCGGATTTAAGACAGGCTAGTGAACTAGTTAACTTGGCAAGATGCCAGTTGTAATGAGATGATCATGTTGGAGATTTGAATTTTATGAAATTCAACATCCAATTAATTGACTCTATTATTATTATTATTATTATTATTATTATTATTATTATTATTATTATTATTATTAGTCCCTTGGGTTCCTAGTGGAACATAGGGCTTCACTAGCACGTCTCCAGTGAACTTTGTTCTCTGAGATCTTTTGAACCTGGTTCCACAACAGCCCACAAGCTCTCATTTCCTCCTCGCACCATCTCCTCCATGTCACCCTCATCTCGGACGTCCAACTCGTTGCTTCCCATGGGGATTCCACTCGAGGGCCTGACGCGTGATGTCCCCAGTCGGCTTTCTCAGTGCATGGCCAATCCATCTCCACTTCCTCCTGCATATTTGTTGCGTGATAGGTTCTTGGTTGGTTCGTTGCCAGCCAGAGCTTATTCTTTCTGGCCATCTGATCTTCAGTAGCGAGCCAGCGTAAGCAGTTGTTGATGAATGTCTGTAGTTTATTTGAAATCCCTTTTGTGACACGCCAAGTCTCTGAACCATACAAAAGCACTGATTTGACGTTGGTGTTGAAAATCCGTATCTTGTTCCACATGCTGATTGCAGTGCAATAAATCTCCACACTGGTTTCAGGCTAATGAACACCTGTCTTGCTTTTCCGATTCTGACTTTGACATTCTCGTCTGTGTCTGTGTCGCCTGTAGTTGAAACAGTGCTTCCTAGATAAGTGAAGGATGTTACTTCCTTTAAGTTTCTCCTGTTGATGGTGATTGGAGTTTGTTGTTGTTGGTGGTGGTGGTGGTGCGGTATCTTCATCACCTCTATCTTCCCTATATTCACGTGAAGTCCCGTCTTCGCTGCCTCTTCTGCCAATTAATTGACTCTAGTGATACTTAAAAATTATCATTGAGTAGGCGAAACAAAAATGCATAGAACTTTTATCAACACATCTGAATCTGCCTGTATACTTCAATGATATATGAAGCTGTGACTCATTGGTCTTAATCAATGGGTTATGGGTTTGAACCCCAAGTTCGACTTCTTGAAGTCGAAACAGCCAGTCAATTGGTATAATTACCCCTCACATGGTAGGTCCCAATGTACGCAAGATTATTGTGAAGATTTAGACCTTTTTTTTGGGTTTTTGTATAAATATTGTTTAGTGAGACTTTTAATATCAGAGGTATTTATTTTCGTTGAAAATATTTACTACTTCTAATCAACATTATTTCTCTGCTTTTTCCTGTTTTCTTTTATTTAGTGAGTCTAATTTATTTAGTCCTATCCAACTTGATATATCATCTCAAGGAATATTTAAAGCAAATAGAGGAGATTTTTCTAATATTAAACCTTTATTGCATACTTGGTATGAAGCAGGTTATCAACTTGGTCGTTCACATGCTTTAAAATTCAAGATGAAATCATATACACCAGTAGTATCTAACTCCTAAGAGATATCGTATGTTGTTTGTTTGTGTTGATTTACTTTTGTTGTTTGAGTAAAGATCATTGAGAATACTATCCAATTTTTTTTTTTCTTCTTAGATGATATATCATGTCTAATTCTTGTTAAAACTTTCATGTATATTGTTTTCTTATATAAATAGAATAATACTCCCAACTTGTTTGTACTTTCAGGAATAACATACTTCAGTCAACACCCCTTTACTTCTATTGCTGTCTTGATATAAACGTGTTGATGTTGTCCTTATTTTTCTCATCACATAAATCTTTTGCCTTTTTTTTTTACCTCATTGGTCTAGAGACTTTAATATCGACCAGTGGGTCATGGGTTCGAACCCTCTTCCATTTTCTAAGGTTTTGTCAATCATCATTTGATTACTGAGTAACTATGAATTTATTTGATTAACATAATGAATACTTCAGTGATTTAGCATTTGAAATATTTCATCGCTTTGTGTTCACATGAATTGTAATTTAATTAGTCAAGTGATGTACAGAAGTATATCGGTTCAACCTGCCGTACTTCATAGTAGTATAAAAATAACAAGTGGATAGAAAAAGATTGATATCAAGGTAGACGAGAGGTGAAGAAATTTGGAAATCTAGGTTGATTAAAAAAACACTCAAGGTGTGCCATTGTGACAGATTTTCAACCATTACCTTAAGAGTCTGCAACCATTGATCCCTTCGGTCTCGGTTGCCTACACCTCCTCACACGGCTTAGACTAACACAGACTTCGTCAACTGGTATTACGTCTTTTCCTGACCATCCTTAGTCTTCTTTCAATGTAATCTTGCTTTGAATAATATTGCATTTTGATGTAGATGGTGGTTGAGTATTGCCAGCAAGTGCCCTAGCCATCTCAGAGGATAACAGTTGTCAATCTTGTCACCTGACTTGCTTTCTTCATTTAGTGTCCTACGCTTAACCCCTACATTGTTCACACCATCATTCCTCCACACAATGCTGCAAAAACGAATGTTTGAATACTTATCTTCTACTTTTATCGGCCACGTCTGACAGCCGTACGACAGGACAAAACGGACTGCAATACAGTACACTCATCCTTTAATAGGTAGTCGGATATCTCACCAGTCGGTGCCATAGATGACGCAAGTTGGTAAATGTCGAATGGGCCTTCTATATCTCAGCTAAGATCTCATCACCACCCAACCCTTCGGGTTGATGCAACTCTCTATGTCGATTCCATTTTAGTCCGTTTATTAGAAATGTCACACAGTGAAGCAGTATCATTTACTGAATAGCATTTCGGACATTATTTATTGTCCACATATGTACCATGATATGAGTAAATACCACAATAAATTGTGTCTTAAACCGTTATCCAACAGTTTCATTGTGTGACATTTCTTGTCAATAAAATTACAGTCTACCACAATGGTTAAATTTGACTCCTATATGAAGTGGTCAACCACTTTACCCCGTATTCTTAGACTGAAGATAGCTATACATAGGTCAAGTATCATTTCACGTTTCGCAGGTGCGGAACTCATGATAAATATACTCAAATTTCTGCTCAACGCACTCAGAACTAGCGTTTTTTTCAGTATCCTCACCTAGTGGGACGAAATCATTTACGTACTAAAAGTTAACCAGACAATATCCAGGAAGTAGGTCAATGCCTGTAAAGTCAGATGTACCTTAAGGTATGTCTACTGGTATGTTTATTGCAAAACTAAGTACTAGTCGTGACAGCAGACATTCTTGCTGGACACCGCTAGTTGGCGTCAATTAAGATAACAAATTTCCATAAGCCCTCATATGGCTGCGTGAGTTCATGTGGAGAGCTTTGATTAGCGTTATGTACTCGCTTGACACTCCTTTCTCAGCCAGACACTGTCACAGTACATCGCGGTCTATGAAGTTGAGTGCAGTCTTTAGGCCAAGGGATATGGTGAGTGTCTGCTCCTGGAGGATATTTCTGTGATCCAGAACCTGTTGAAAGGTCAAGATCTGTTCCAGGCACCCTACTCCAACTAAAACCTACCTGGTTTTTCCGAGTTTGCTATTCTCAATCTCGAGGTAACCACCAGATAACTATAAACCTAAGGATATTGGCGAAATGGGTATCGCCAGTAGACTATCACTTCTAATAGACTGGAATGATCAGACATATAGGCCAGTCTGATGGGACTCTTTCTGATTCCAGCACACTACCTAGTATTTGTCGTTATCTACTCCGTAAATCCTTACCTCCATCCCCAAAATCTTCCGGTGGCAAATTGGCAGGTCTTGGTGCTTTGCTTCCTTTCAGGGTTCAAATAGCCTTCTCAACTTCAAGGACAATGGACGATTGACATTTGCTTCCCACTCATTTTCAGCCTGGATAATAATAATAATCACTTTATTTCAAAAAATTTTTCAGTACAGTTGAGAATTTTCAGCATGAGATATTGCATATATATATATATATATATATATATATATATATATATATATATATATATATATATATATATATATCTTCTACAACATTTCGAATCGTGATGAAGTGAAGTGATTGAGTGTGTTGACCACTTCACTTACCTGGGAAGTAGGATCACCCCTGATGACTCAGTAGCCGGTGAAATCTCTGCACAGATGCAAAGGCTTCATTGGCTTTCGCCAACTCACGCCGCCGTGATATCCGATTATCTACTAAGAGTCGCGTATACTGCACAGCAGTCCACTCTGTTCTACTGTATGGCTGGGAAACATGGCCGTTGAAGGTGGAAAACATGAGAAGGTTTCAGGCGTTTGACCACCGTTGCCGTATTCCGTGGTGTCACCACGTGAGTAACACAGAAGTCAGGAGTAGAGTTTTAGAGAAAAGAGGTAAGTCGATTGACGAGGTTGTGAACCTTAATCGATTGAGATGGTTGGGGCACGTGTTATGTATGCCTAGTCGCCGATCGCCTCGTCACACAATGTTGGCTGAAGTGGGTTCAGGCTCGAAAATGGCTCGAGGTGGCCAGACTAAAATATGACATGAATGCATGAAGTGTTTGACAGACTGTTGGTTTGAGCCATGTGGGGCGATTCAGACTAGATGGTTGGGGTCGGTGGGACAAGAGGAACCAGTGGTTGGAGACTGACTTTAGGTGGTCACATGGCTGAGAACCGATGTCAGTGGGGCAGATGTATCGCTACACACATTATCCTCATCTTAACAACGCTATATTGAATCTCACCACTTTCTCATTCTTCCTTTCTCTCTTTTCATACTTTATATTTCTTTTGAATGAATTTTCTTGTCTTCATCTTGCGCCTCACTGCCTTTTTACTTGATGTGGTGATATGAGGTGTGGCGTCCACTCGGACCGTTACTCAGTAATGCCTTGTTTTAGGTTGATCTGGATGGATGTATGATGAATCATGATGATATAAAATTTTATGCGAAGAATAATAATAACCAGGTAGATTTTCTAATATTATTTTAAATACAGGAGAGATAGATTATTTATTGTTGTGAATTTGATAGGTGGATTCTGTTCTAACACTTTTCCTCACATAATAAGCATGCTAGGTAAGGCACGGTCAAATTCCTGTACTAGTGAACAGTCTGATGTGCTATCTTCTTATCCTCCCTGAGGAGTTAAAAGGAGAGATCTGTGGATGAAGCGTATGCTAAGTGCCAGTTAAAATTACTGTAGCTAGTTGCCTGCTAGAGTTTAAATGTCGATCAACTACAGTACTGATCACCTGAGCCAGAGGCACACCACCCGTCCTAGTGATGGCTTCCAATGCCCTACGCAATATTATTATTATTGTTAATAATAATGTTATCATTATTATCAGTCCCTTGGGTTCCTGGTGAAACATAGGGATTCAGTAGTACGTCTCAATTCCCACTCTCTTCTCTGCAGTCTTTTGAACCTAGCGCCACGACTGCCTGGAACCTTCCATTTCTTCCTCACACCATCTCCTCTATGTCACCCTCACCTCAAACGCCCAACTCCTCGTTTCCCCTATGGATTCCACTCGAGGACCTGGCCTGGAGCGTGATGTCTCCAGTTGGCCTTCTCAGTGTATGCCAATCCAATCCATCTCCACTTTCTTCCACTTCATATTTGTTGGGTGATAGGTTGTTGCTTCGTTGGTTGGTTCGTTGTCAGCCAACCAGAGTTCCTCCTTGCTTATCCTTTGTTGCCTTCTCATCCGGCCTGATCTTCAGTATGGAGTGAACGTAGGCGGCAGTTGTTGATGAATATCTGTAGTTTGTTGGCAATGGTTTTCGTGACGCACGAAGTTTCTGAACTATCACATAGAAGCACTGACTTGACTGAATTTATGTTGAAAATCCGGATGTTGTTCACGCTTTATGTTGAGTACAGTGAAGTAGATTTCCACACTGATTTCAGATTAGTGAAAGCCTGTCTTGCTGTTTTTCTGATCCTGATTTTGACATCCTCATCTGTTCCACCTGTAGTTGAAATGATGCTGCCTAGGTAGATGAAACTGGCTACTTCCTTTAATTTTCTCCCGTTCATGCTGATTGGAGCTTGTTGTTGTATTGGTGGTGGTGGTGGTGGTGTTGGTTAGGTATCTTCATCACAATATATAGCATAGTTCTTTTTTAAAAGACCATGAAAGATCGACGGGAAACAATAGAGAACAATAGGTAAAATGCAAGAATTAAGAAATTGTAAAAGTAGAAGCATTGAGTTATACCAGAGAGCCTCTGTTTCGTTATTTAGTACGATAAACGGAAGATTTTTTTACGAGTCAGCAAGGTATGAGACAACCAAGAAAGATCAGAAGTAAGACTCAGTCCAAGATAGTTAACAATCGATTAACTTTCTGCAGAAATACCTTTTGTCTAGCAAGAGTCATAAAACTTAAACAGCTCATACATGTTTTGTTTACGCCTGAGGCTAAAATTGATAGTTTGACATTTAAAAGGGTCTAGCTTGAGACTACTTGAGAGAAATGACTGGCCAATTACTGACAAGAAATCATTGAATTCATAACCATCTAATTGAGAATTAACTGACATAGGAACTGTTGCATCATCAACATACTTAATAAAACTAGTTTCAACAAAATAAGGCAAATCATTCTGGAGGAATGAGAGCAGGAACAGACCAAATACTACTCCTTGAGGTGAACCGGCCTCAGTAAGCAGTGAAGTGAAGCTCTTATCTTTACAGACAGTATACTGTTTCCCGCTATAAAAATAAGAATACAACCACATCGTAACCCCATAGCTCGGCATGAGTCAAAAAGCTGATGGGTAATCTAAGAAGGCACAATGAACATACTTAACACCTTTGTCGAGACTAGAAACAATATTATGATACAAGACTGTGACAGCATCTAAAGTACTTCTCTTGTGTTTGTAGACAAATTGTTTTTATCCCTGAAAACCTTCAGTCAAGGTTCAAGCACAGGGAAAATTGATTTCTCCATCGTCTTCAAAAAAAAAAGGAAGTTATAGCGATGGTTCAAAATTTAACATCTAATCCCGAAGGTGACTTAGGCACATGTATAACTTTATTCTTTTTCCAAGCGGTGGTTG